CTATATTGCAAAATGTTTGCACTTACAATGCCCAGTGCAGGCAGACATAGAAGAACTTGTATTCAGCGTTGGGACAGTAGGACATGCCACAGCCAACCTGTGTGGACATATACCAAACAAGCTGAGCAGAGACACAGAGTACAAATCACGACAATCATAAATCCACATGTGATGGTAAATCTGCTTTTAAAATTCTCAGAAATGCACCAAAAATGTTCATAATGAAACTGTGAATATACTGTAGCTCTACCTGGCTGAGGTCTCCGTTTGCTTTTCCAATGGCAGTGCCTGGTATTGTGCTCGGCCCCTGACCAGACCAGGAACTGATGACATTTCTCCAGGTGACCTTAGAGTTGGACTTGAACAGGTTCTCTCCATAGCTAGCAGCTACAGTCAGAGAGGAGGTGTGGGATGTGCTTTAGTCTTCTTAAAAACTCAGTGGTCACACATGAATTTCAGTCTCCACTTCACACTGTCTTGATGAAAGGAGGGAATTGACCCCTGTGGGCTCCTAACTCTGACTATTGAGGACAGTTGGCTGCTCTTTACGAGGGTCAAACCAATAAAAAAACTTATGTTGTGGAATCACAGCCTGGCTAACTTGTTGTAAGGTATAAACAATAGAGGTGCTGTAATGCACTTACTGCCGATCATTCTGCTGCTCTCAGGGCTGTGTTCCATGGAGCAGGTGTCGGCCCATTCCTGAGCTTTGGCTGCAACCTCGGCATCCCATTTCTGAGGAGCAGAGGACAGAGTGGCTGTTAAATCAGCACATGTAGACCTCTACAGTATGAACTTCATATTATCTCTGAGTGCTGTGTGCTTGTCTGGAAGACCATTTTATTCTTCACTGATATGCTGCATGAGGGAGCATGTGAAACAAGCACAAATAAGCTAGGTGATTTAACATTTCATGCTCAGAATCAAATATTTTCACTAACGCCCAGTGAAGCACACTTTATTTATGAAATGATTAATGCACAAATAGAATTATTACCATTTTCACCAATTTGCCGGCAGTAGGCTGAGCAGTTATTCTCAGGTCATTATGCAACTTCACAATCTCATCCTGGTCAGCAGGAGAGATGACGCCGGCTACTAAATACACCCAATTAGAACAGGATGTTTAAATGTGAAGCACTGTGCAAAACATGAGTGAAGAATAATGTATGAATAACAAGTACAAACACTTACCCTTGTTCACAATGAACTTTCAGAGATGAGAGAAAAAAATGTAGGTTAATGTTTTGCATATTAAGGTAAAAAGCATCAGTTCAGCAGCCTCTCTCATCACCACCTTCCCAAACTAACTTTCCACACAATGATCAATGTTGCTCATAGGAGGTTTGCTCCGTCCGGTCCTTGATTTGACACTTAAATGCATGCACAATAATAAGTGCACAAAATAACACATGACTGCAGCTCACAGCCATAAATAAAACAATACCATGCACATGTCCCGATGACGGTACAGGCATTGCTAACAGCAAGTAAAGTCAGCATGTGGCTGCTGTCGCTCACCCCAAGCTGCAGGGCTCAAGTTAGGGAGTAGAAATAATGTGATCCACTCTAGGGCTGGGCAAGACAATATCATATTCGATGGCTCCTTGGGCCACAAATGTGAAACTATATTTCTTTATCGTGGAATGACCCCCAAACACAGTGGTGTAAATCTTAAGCAAAATCATTTTTCAAAATGAACGCATGGTGCGTATAGGAATACAGATCCATGGGCCGCTGTTTAGTGTCCTTACCGGTCCAGCCAAGGTGCCAGGCACCTGAAGAGCAGCGAGGACGCTGAAAGCACACAGGAAGGTGAAGGTGTACAGAGTCATGGTCAAATCCAAGACAGTTAACCTCCAAGAGCCTTAGGTGCGATTTATATAGGCAGGAGCACAGAGCCTTTCTTGTGACAATTGAACAAACAATCTCAAGGACATCCTTTAATTAACAAGACAAACATCCTGAACATGGAATTAAGGAACATAAATCATCTTTTGTCCCATGCCCTTGACAAACACGAGGAAACGGCACTAAAAGATTGCAGACCTCTGCCAAGGGGCAACTCCATTTCCCAATAGGGAGGCACCGACCACCACCAGAATCTGATTGGCCACTGCTGGTGCCACCCATGGTGCCACTTTTGCCATATTGACCACAACCCTATCCCTGCCAGGCTGAGAGTAAATAAAGAGCGCAGCCCAAGTTAGCTAAAGAAAGCATTATGCGTGTCATTTTTACACAAATATTTGTTCCTTAATAATGTGTTTATTTCAAAGAACTAGAGGTTTTAAAAACTTTTGACATATATTTCAAATGTGCCAGCCCTCCCTGGGTCTGTGCCCCTTCCTGGCCACCCCTTCCAAAATATTCTAGATCCACGTGCTTGTGGCCCAAACCTCAAATCCAATGTCCATTACCCCTGGTATTTTTGCATATTTAGAGGAAACAGATGTCATTTTAGATTGGACCCTCCAGGTGTCTCACTGCCCTCCATGCTTGAACAGTGTAACTTATGAGTGGGTTCCAGCTGGGATTACCAATATTCCTCATATCCTTTACATACGATGGGTATTTACATTACACACTTTCTATGTCGTACCACAGAGAGGTGGCGTCCTCATGGATCCACTTTGGAAATGAGCTGGAATTTTTTTACAATCAGGGAGATCTAGGCCACTTCTATTGACTCCACATAGCACAGATAGTTTAAGTCGGGGTCTTTTCTTGCCCCAGGTGAATGAAATACACCAGCTGTCTGTTGTTCTGGTTGTCAAACTCATTTTTCTTTTAGTCTCCAGTAAAGCACAGCCTTGGAAAAATTCAATTTGAAATTAGCATGAGTGATAGACTTGTGACCTGTCAAGGGTGCACCCTGCCTCTCACCCAATGTCAGCTGGGATTGGCTCCAGCCCCTCAACGACCCTCTTCAGCAGGGGTGGGCAATTAATTTTTACAAGGGGCCACATGAGAAACCTGAGCTGTGGAGGGCCGAACCAACGATAACTTGAACTTAATTCTGCTCAATATTCATTATCTCTCATTGTAAAAAGCAGTAAATTATATGTGTTGATTAGCTGCTACTGGTAATCAGAAGAATAAGCATATTCTATAAATATATGAAATTGTGGTGTAGGTCAAAGAGGAAAATACTCCTATAGAAGTAATAAACAGTAACGCACGGTGCGTATAGGAATACAGATCCATGGGCCGCTGTTTAGTGTCCTTACCTTTCCAGCCAAGGTGCCAGGCACCTGAAGAACAGCGAGGACGCTGAAAGCACACAGGAAGGTGAAGGTGTACAGAGTCATGGTCAAATCCAAGACAGTTAACCTCCAAGAGCCTTAGGTGCGATTTATATAGGCAGGAGCACAGAGCCTTTCTTGTGACAATTGAACACACAATCTCAAGGACATCCTTTTTTAACAAGACAAACATCCTGAACTTGGGATTAAGGAACAGAGAGCATCTTTTGTCCTGTGCCCTTGACAAACATGAGGAAACAGCACTCAAAAATTACAGACCTCTGCCAAGGGGCAACTCCATTTCCCCATAATGTTATAAAAGCAATATTAGCTTGACCCTCATAATATGGTTGCTGGACCACGAAAACCTACTACTGGCATTTGGAGGGATGCTGATATAAAGTACAGATAGATAGAATTCAATTACTGTTGAACCCTTTCAAGCTACTTCATTATCAATTCATCACCTTGTTTGACTGTTTCCTTGCATAGAAAGCCAGTATGTCAGACGGCTTGGCGCTATATTTGTCATAAGTTAGAAAGACATCAATGTGCCAAGAGGTGAGGGCAGAGGGACCAGCTCCATATCACCGTTTCAAACCTTACTCAGTTCACAAACTCTCTCCTGACAGAAATGTTGGATCTTAATCTTGTTTAAATCTGCTATGATGGCCTGAGGAAATGTGAGTTCTGTGAAGGATTTTTAATTGCATAGCTTGGACACTGTTACAAACACTGAAACATTTAGTTTGTGTCCAAGATTCTTTCCAGTTTTTCACTGATACCGATTTGTCTAATTCAATCCAAATGCACCTTAAGTAATCGGTGCCATTGTTTGTAAAGGTCCTGAGAATCTGGTTCAAGTTGCTGACAGATTTGTGTCCCTTTGCCTGGGCTATGTATTGCTCAGTGTTTAAAGGACATCAGAATTGGCCCACTGATGAAATCTTTCATGCAAGAAAGCCCTGTTGTGTCCATGGGTGGATTCAGGAGGTGGCATCGGCCACCACCAGAATCTGATTGGCCACTGCTGGTGCCACCATTGGTGCCACCCCTGGTGCCACTCCTGCCAAAATAACCCTAACCCTATCCCTCCCAGGCTGAGAGTAAATAAAGGAGCGCAGCTAAAGATAGTTAGCTAAAGAAAGCATATACGTGTCTCATTCTTACACAAAACTTGATTTGTTCCTTAATAATGTGTTGTTTATTATTTCATAGAACTAAAGGTTTTAGAAACTTTTGACATATATTTCAAATGTGCCAGCTCTCCGTGGGTCTGTGCCCCAACCTGGCCACCCCTTCCAAAATATTCTAGACCCATGTGCTTGTGGCCCAAACTTCAAATCCAATGTCCATTACCCCTGGTATTTTTGCATATTTAGAGGAAACAGGTGTCATTTTAGACTGGGCCCTCCAGGTGTCTCACTGCCCTCCATGGTTGAACAGTGTAATTTATGAGTGGGCTCCAGCTGGGATTACTAATATTCCTCATATACTTTATATATAATGGGTCTTTTAATGGGTATTTAGATTTCACACTGTCTATGTCGTACCACAGAGAGCAGCTGAAGGAGGCAGAGAGAAAGAGAGAAGGAGTACTGGCGCCTCAAGACCGGAGTGGACTACAGCTGGCCGGCCAGCACGCCTCGCTCCTCCTACAACATCAGCACTGGGGAGAGGCTCAGCCTGGAGGGCTTCTGTTCCAAATCTACTTCTACTTCCAAAGGGT